CAGACCCTCTTTGGTCCTTGGTCCCTCTGAGGTGAGCTGAGGGGCTCACAGGTACGTCTTGGGAGCCTGCCTTCATCCTCCACATTGCAAGCGTTCTGTGACACTCAGAGCCCCCTGCAGGGCCCCAAGCCCAATGGGCACTGAGGACAAGGCCTAGGGAGGTGGCACACCCCTGGGATATCTCCCCCAAGCTCTCAGAGGGTGGATGATGAGGTCAAGAAGGCTCTGAGAAGCTGGGCTGGGGATCCCAGAGCCTTGCCTTAGCTGAGTGTGCTGCAGGGACCCTCAGGGGCAGCCCAGGGGGACAAAAGGCATAGCCAGGAACTTAGTGCAGCCAGTTCCTAAGGGCTCAGGGAGGCAGAGAAGGCGGGGGCAGCCTGGGTCCCATTGCACTCTTCTGTGGTAGCGCACTTTGTGGCAAATGATTTACCTCTCTGGGGCTTGGTTTCCTCATCTACAAAGCGGATCTAGAACAGACTCCTCCTGGGAGTGTGGAGAGGGGTCAGAGGTCCCTGTTCATGCTTAGCAGGGCATCTGGCATGGACCCTGCTTTATGGTGGTGCTTCTCCAAGGAGCTTCCCTGATGCAGCTGTCCATAGCACCCCAAGCTGGAGCCCCTGCAGGGAAGCTGCTCATGGGACAAAGATTTGTTTAGAAAACCTGACAATGACTGTCACTATCTGAGAAATGGATACGCCCTGCACCAAGAGGCGAGAAAATCATTAAAGTGCCCTCTGGGGCTGGAGCAGACCCTGGCCCTCGGAAGACAACTGGTTCAAGTCACTGTGCTCCTAAAGTCCACAGTGATGTTAAGGGCACAGACAGACGACAGACTCAACAGTAAGGAAACCAGAGACATTTGTTCTCCCCAAAATGAGTCCCTCTGGCTTGCCGATTTGCATTGTTTCTAAATCCAAAGAGGGTGCTCCGGCCGGCCGTGGAGTAGTAAGAGAGGCACCTTGTGTGTGCTTGGGCTGGGGGGTGCTGAGGGCAGGGTGTGCATGCATCTTTGTCAAGCAGCTGCCCATGAATACCTTCCTAAAAGTCGCCAAACATTTAGGAGTCTTGCTGTGTGTTGGCAGAATGCGTGGTTGAGGAAGTGGATACTTTTTTTCCTGCCTTTGCAGAATTATTTTTGAAGGTTTCAGCCCCTTTCCAGGTGGCTTGAGGCCTTGGGCAGGTGGATAAGGCTCAGCCAGACTCCTTCATGTCAGGGCGGCCTCCCTCCCACCCGCCCCGGCTGCAGCGGCTCCTTCCAGCCTTTCTTTCCTACATTAGAGAAAGTAACAGCTTTGCTGATGCTTGGATGGTAAACAAGGAACTGTGAGACTTGGCAGAGGGCGGCAGCGTGAGACTCTGAAGCCTGATGATTCAGAAACATGGTGCACTTCCCTCCTGGTCGTAGTCCCTGTGCTTGGAGGTCGCCGTGATCGGGAGAGAGTGGCAGTCTGTGCACCCCCGCCACCCGTGCTCTCTTATTCATGTCATCGGGCCAGCCCACTGTCTTTGCAGTGGRGGGCAGAAAGGGGAGCCCAAGAGAACACATCCAGGATGGAGGAATGTGGCCTGCGTTGTGATCTCACCACAGAACTTCTTCAAGATCCTTGTCCCCATTATTTAATTACATGAAGTATCATCATGTGTGACGGTGCTTTAGAAAAAATTCCATGCATCATTTAAAAGTTCGTATTTTAGGTATGTTACACATGTAGAAATGTGTATGTAAACATTTTTAGATAAAATGCAAATCTGTATCTGAGCAACAAGGGAAGCTTACAAATTCGCACGCCGCTCAGCACCGTAATGCTGCCCACTCAGATGCTTGCAATGCTTTTAGCCCTGGGTGTGCGCGAGAGACATTTTGCTTTTGTCTGAGTTTGGAAAGATTGGCCCATTCTGTCCATCTCGGAAATAACTGATTTCCCTGCAGTGGAACAGTTCCAACGGGCTGATTCTCACACCATAGACCTGTTTTCTTCTTCACAGAGTTGGAGCCCACAATTACTTCCCCATCATCTCTCCATATCCGGAGCCACCAGGTTGAGCCCGCTCTGGCCACCCCCTTCAGGAGCTCCTGCCTCCTTATCTGAACTTGGCCCGCCCTCCCGCCTCTCTTGGGGCTGACTTTCCCTATTCCAGGTTGTCACAGCTGCTTTCCCAGGGTTTCCCAGGGCGGGCTGCGCTTCCTTCCTGTTCAGCTCCTGGAAGCAGAGTGGCAGCAACTGTGCACTCTGGGGACCCACCTGCCCAGCGCCAGCTCAGGGACCAGGCCACCCCCAGAGACCCAGTTCTCCCTGCAGGAAGGATGTGGACAACTGTCCTTCCAGGTGTTTTATGGAGCAGAGAACCCAGTGGCCTCTCCCTAGGACTGGAAGAGATTTCAAGGAATGAAGGATCCAATGTCACTGAGGCCCTCAGTAAAGTGCACTTCGGGGCTCCCCCTCCCTGTGAGCAGGACCCAGCCACTAGGAACGCAGAGAGAGGAAGCGAGCCCTGCCTGAAGGGATTGCCACCTCCCTGGGGGAGCAAACCCCAAGCAAACCAAGGTGAAAGGCCATGCAGAAGGCTTTCCCCAGAGGCCCAGCAGGGGGACTGGGCGGCCATTCCTGCTGCTCCTCCTGGCTCTGCAACCTGGGGAGAAGMTCTCCAAGCCTCAGCGTCCTCCTCTTAACAATGGTCTCCTCGCCTGTTGGGACAGTTGGGAGATGAGGCGGAGCAGCCCCGGGCACTCCATGGGCATGTGAAGCTCAGCCCTCCTTCCCCTGCTGGAGGATGCTGCCCCCCAGGATACGGCAGGCAGCTTCCAGCTTGTGCAAGGAGGCTGCGCAGCCCTGGAGCCCCCAACCCATGGCCCTCATGTGCTTCTTTCACATTCTCCAACACTCTGCTCGGTGTCACAGTGACCATTCCCACTGGGGCCTTGGGAGGAGGTGTACTCGGGGACAGGTGTAGTTTAGGGAACAGGTAGTTGTCTGGGTTTTGCTCTACTTCTGTACTTAGAGAAACTGAAGTTGTGGTTTCATGAACCACAAAYGAACAAAATACATAATCTATTTGCAGTACCATTCTTCAATTATTCTTTGTTTAAAAAATCTTATTCAAAGTTAGGTTTTTAATGATCTGTGTTTGATCAGGGTTTTGTCGATTGCTTTATTCATTTATTTATCCAGTTGTTGACAAAATGCCCTCCTGAATTCATGCCGGGCTGGCTTTTCCTTGTGGTTTGACTTGAGCTTGCTGCCTCTGCTTGCCGCCCTGCTCCAAAAGCTGCTACTTACCACCAGGTTTCTTTAACTGCACTGAAGAATAGTTTTGAACATTTGTATCAACCCTCCTGAGAGARTGGAGGCAATTTCCACACCTGGCTTCTCCCCTTTCTTGGCCTCAAGCAAACACAAGTCACACTTTCCAGAATCTTCCCTGGGTCTTGTAAAGTAAGAGCGGTGGACTCTTGTAATACGCTACTACAAAAAAAGCAGTTCAACTATCCCCAGCAATCCCCAGTGACCACCTCCTGCCCAGTCCTGAGTGCCCCTCTTCACCACTAGTGGGCTCTATGTTATGTGGGGCTTCACAGCTCCCCACCCAGAAACCCTCCATGATTTCACGAGTTGTTCCACAGATTGTCTCCCCATTGTTTTATACAGGTTTCCTAGGAGATACTTCTTTCCTAGTAGTGGCATCTTATTTTCTATGCAGACTATCACATCATTTGAGACTAAAACCTTATTCTTTTTTCCTTTCTAATTCCTGTGTATTTTATTTATTTTTCTTATCTTATTATATTGGCTAAGATTTCCAGCAGGATGATAAATATGAGTGATGAGAGCAGATATCTTTGTTTTGTTCTTCTTATTGGAGAAGGAAGCAATCCATCTTCCACCATTAAGATTAATTTTAGCTATAGATTTGCACAAGCAGATTTAAAATCGCTTAGTAACCACAACTATTTCTTTTGCTTCTTTGGCTTCAAACCTATTTCATGAGTCAATTTTTAATTTAACAATATAGTGATTTTATAACAACCTGTTATCATTTGTACTGTAGAGTCTTTATTGTGTTTGGTTTAAAATAACCAGCCTTGCCAGGACTCAGATAACAAGCAGTCTGTTTTGGTAGAAAACATCATGTACTGCTTTAGCTATTTTAAAACAGCAACAATCAAAACATGATTCCACCCCTCATCAGTGCAAGTATGCACTCCCAGCTGAGCACGGTGTCCATCCACAGGTGGACAGAAGCCCACTAGCCCCAGTACCGACCACTCACACAGGAACATGAGCACTGTGTCCACCAACAGAATAGTGGGTAAAAAAACAAATGTGGTCATGAAAGATTAGTTTTCTGTAAAGTGTTGGCACACTCTGCATCATGGATGGACCATGACGCTCCGTGACAGAAGCCAGTTGTAAAAAGGTCACATGTTGAGTGAACCCATTTAGGTGGATTGTCCAGAACAGGGAAATCCACAGAGATGGAAAGTAGCTGAGTGTCTCCAGGCCGAGGTGGAAGGGCAAAGCTGGGAGCCAGTGGGTGTGAGGCTTCCTTTGGGGTGAAAAAAATGTTCTAATATTAGATTCTAGTGATGGTTGCAAATTTTGTGAATATACTAAAAAACTGTTGAACCATACACTTTAAACAAGTGAATTTTGTCATGTCAATTATACCTTTAGAAAACCTTTTCCTTAATTAAAAAAAAAAATCTAACATGAGAGCTAAGTGAATGGTCAGGCTGGATACTGGTGGCACTGTGAAACAGGGTGCCCCAGCCAGGTCTCACGGGGCCATCCTCAAGGGCAAGGAAACACACACGACGTTAGGAGCAGCAGACTGTGGGGGTCTTAGGGGCTGGACACCAGGCATCGGGGCCTATCAGGGGTCTCCCTTGGTGGACTGGCAGCCAGAGACCACAGCAGAGGTTGGGTCTGGACGCTGTCTGAAGCATGGACACCCGGAGTTCTCCAGGAGACTGACACTGTCTCTTCTTCTTTCTTTTTCAGACTATAGCCCTCGTTTTCACTTGGTGAGTACGAAACTTTTTTTTTAATTTGTTTTCACTGTAGAGTTAACTAGCTATAAGACTGTGTGGGATTCCACTGAGGGGCTTGTTTTCCTGAGGGCCAGGGGGCTTCACACTTGTAGTCGCATCTTTTTGTACCTCTGGCTCGGCTGCTCCGGATCCTGAACTGTGTTGTTGAGAGCACCCTCTGCACGTGCTTCCTTTCTCTGACTCATGGGTACTTTCCAAAGGGCTTCCCTTATCTCGGTGGCACACATTTGACGCCTATTAGGGCACACGGAGGTGCATAATTGCACGGGTGGTAATTGCTTCTTAAATTGATCTGCTGTGGGGAAAACTGCTGAAAAGGAGATTTTCTGGATTGCAYGCCTGGTAAAAACCGTGTCGCTGTCACACATTTTATGCCTTTGGGGGACCAGGCCACAGCAAAATTCCATGGCTTTGATGTCCTTAGAAAGGGAAAACTTTAAACACCATAGCTGTTTTGTGATCTATTTAATCAACTTAATGCTGTTTCGTTTCCTGCAGAAAGCCAGGGAAGGAAATCTGAGTGTCCGCAGTGTGTGCAAGAGGCGCATGGAACCCTCTCAACCCCTACCTAGCATCATGACCCTGGCCACTGGGAAGCTTTGTTTCCTAAACGCATAACCTTATTTGAGATTTGCTGTGGCCCAGAATTATTTTAAGGCCAATGGCTCAGCTCTTTTGTCCTGGCTGCCCCCTCTTATAGGCAGAGGCCCTTTACAGCATCATTCCATCTGGGCATGAATGTTTGTGGCTATTCCTGGTGTCACCAAAGGCGTTTCGGTTGCCTGGATATCTCTCCTTACTTCAGTAAAGAAATGTGAAATATAGTGAAAGATTTATTGAGTTAGAGAAGAGCTACCTACTAAACTGGTTTTGCTACCATTGTTGGCACCTGTTGCACCATGACTGGGTGTCATYCATTCTGAGTGGCATACCCTGCATGGGTAAACGTTAATGGTGGGATCAAAGAGGAGGATCTTACTGGAATAACATTTGTGGGATGGAGACATAATTACACGAAGTCTGCAATCCCTGTTGCCTCAGAGTCCCAGCCAGAGGTGTTGGCTTGTCCATGACGGCTAGGACGCATATGAAACATGATGCTCATCAAAACCGTGGATCCAAGGGCTTTGAGAATGCACCTCCCAGGCTGGAATGAAATATTTGAGGGTCAGACCCCACAAATGCATCTCCTTCTGAAGCCCAGGGGGCCTATTCTGGCTTGTTCCCAGCAAGACCTGGGCACTGCTCGGCTCCCTGTTCTTGCTGGCCCTCCACTTGCAGCCTTGCCTTCCGCCGGTTCTAGGAGTTCCAGTCTCTTGGCCAGTGGACCCACTGCTGGGCAGTGAGTCAGCAGCTCTCCAGCGGAGAGATCCTGTGACAGGTGCTGGCTCAGTCCCCTCCTCCCCAGCATGTCTCAACCCCGGCTAGAAGTTTAGAAGTTGGGGCCCTGCCCAGACGCACCTATGTCCAGGAGCTGGCTCCGGTGCCTCCTGGTCTCTACCCGGGATGCGTGGTAGCCAGAGCAGCTCTGGGCAGCACCTCCTGTCCTCCTGGCCCCATCCCTGGCCACTATTTCAGTTCTGCTTAGGGAACTGCTGAGTTCCTGGATTTAAATTGCTTCCAATTTCAGGAATCTTTGTCTTTGGCATGAGGAGCAGATATTTGAAGTGTGGGCCTCCTGCCCACTGTACCTCATGCTGCCTTCATCTGGAACCAGTTACTGGGCTGCCCGGAGGACAATCTGGCTGGTCTTTTAACCTGTTGCATTTCCATTGCTGACCATTTTAGACTTCCCAGAGCCTCGGGATATCAATTAATAGAAGGAAAACTATTTCTAACTTGTGGGATTAGAGACTTACTTCTGAGTCAGTGAGAACTACATAAGAATCCCTGTTGGGCAGGGCAGGGCAGCCTCCTGTGATTGGAGACATCACAAACCAGGAGCCAGGCAGCCCCTTGCTGAGTGAATATGCCACCSCATGAATGAGTCTCTGGTTGTGATATCTAAATATGTGGCCCAAGGTAAGCATTTAATAAATGCCAGCTACTGTTATTACTGCTCTTCTAATTCTTAACCTCATCACAGAATTAAGACAACTGTTTTTAACTTTTAAAGGAGGCATTTAACTGGGCTTTTGTGTATGTGTCCCCCCTTTTGTGGATATCAGAGTTCCCTTTATAGAAATAATCCCTGATTTTTTCATTAAAAAMCCAAATTAATATTTGACTTTCAAAAAATAAATCAGATTTTTTTCCTTATTGAGTYGAATTAGGGGTCTTTAGCCAGGCCCCATTCTCAAGCTTCTTTTCCTTTTCTTTTCCTTGCATGTAACCGTGTGCTTGTAGAAATGCCACTGTCAACTGCTCACATTGGGTTTCAAGTGGACTGAGTTTCTTTCAACCGGAGCGTGCTCACATCCCTGGGGGTTTCCGTGGCTCAGTATTTCATGCAAAGGAATTTAAAAACTAATAATTTATGGAAGACACACAATTGAAGTTAAATATTTCCTGCAAACTCTTTAAGGTCTTATATTTTTAAGCCTAGGGGTATCCACCATTAGGTAAAATTAAATGATATTGTCAGTTGACTGTTCCACTTTGGTTCATGGAAATACCAAAGGAACAAAAAAACCAACTAAACTAAAGCACAACTATTAGGCCGCCATGGATTTTTATTTTGAAGTTTAGTGGGACGGTCACCCACCAGCTGCCCTTCAGTGGTGCGCTGTGCTTCCTCCTCGGTCACTTTTGGTACCAGCCTGGTCATTTTTCTTTCTTGCTGTGGGTGTGAATGGCTACCACGACAGGGAAAAAAAGAATCTGCAGTTTTTAAAATTAAGCTCCTGGGCCTAGTATCATTCTGACGGGGCCGGTGAGCAGGCTAGCTGGCTGGCTGGCTGTGCAGCTGGGGAGACGGGCTTCAGGTGGCAGGACAGGAGGCATGTGCCCTGGGCTGGCCTTCAGGTCACAGGAGCRAGAGAGCTGCTGCAGGTCAGAGGAAGAGGGATGGTGTGCCCCTCTGTTGGTGCCATGGAGCCCAGGGGCACCCACTTGGAGCGACTGTGCTTCTTCCCATTGTGGGAAGGTTCTCCCAATGACTACTCCCGGAAGAGGCGGCAGGGGAAAGAATGCCTCAGGAAATGAGGTGACCCGCAGATAAGTCCACATGCGGCTCTGTTTCCACCCCCTGGGAAAGATTCCGCATTCTTTCAAGAAGTGCCTCCAGCAGGGAATCATTGGTCATAGAGGGAAGGCTCAAGCGCAGTTTCCACTTGGAGGAAATGGGAACAGACTCCCCTTAGAAGCCAGCCTGTTCACTGCCTGTGCAGCAGACTCGGTTCAGAGCTGGGGTTCTTCTAGAAATCCTTTTGAGTGGACAAGGAAACATGGATTCCCCAAGGCCAGGATGTCTCCCCAGYGTCACCCCAGCAGGACAAGAGGTAAAGGGGGATTTTCCRGTTACTCTGAATTTATATCATGCTTGCTTGTAATTTCTAAGGTATCCAAAAATTCGGTTAAAGACTAACATCAAGAAGCCTTCATTAAATGAACCTTTGGCAACCACTTCAGCTGACTTTGCCCAACTGGTGCAGGAAATCTGGGGTTTATGTTTCAGGAAGCCATTTCTAATCCACCATAGCTCAGCCAGGCGTGCACGGGGGATGGCAGGAGGAACTTGCTTGGGCCTGCTGGGTTGTCAGACAGCCAGGAGTCAAAGGTTAAGTCACCTCTCTAGAAAAACAAACCTAACAATTGCAGAGGCCCTAGGCTGGCTGGACAACCTGTGGAAATCCCACCCATGGAAAGCTGGACCTTTCCTATATTTATTATCAAAACTGCCTTGTTGATTTTCCCTCCCAGCTGAATTTGTGAAGCAGCATTTTAAATTGACAGTGGTGCACTGAGAAATAGGAGATGACTGAGGCCAGGCAGCATGTAGCACTTCCAGGACTGTCCTGGCTGCACCAGGCCAGGCGGGCGGGCAGTGTGCGGTTTTCCTGTCTGTGAGCTCACAATGTGGGGACAGATGGCCCTGGTGGCTGCAGACATGGACCTTCTGCCTGAAAGGTGGCATCCTCCACTTTGGGGGACAGGAGGCCAGACGTTCATGAGCCCTTTGGAGTGCGAGAGTTACAGGTAGAGTGCTCAAGCCCAGCAGGCCACTGCATCAGGAACAATGTCAGGTGCCAAGTGCAAGGACAGGGACCAATGCCCCCAACACAGGAACTCATTGTCGCGGGCAGCACCGTCCCCTGGGCATCCACGTGAATGGGGACATCAAGCACCATCTAATCTGCCAATCCAAATGACTTTTCAAAGCTGCTTATTATGACGCAGAGTTTGGTATTAAAGTATTTTTTTTAAGTTAGAAAGGGAAAAAAAAGGATCCTTATGGAATTCCTGAACAAAAAGGTGTCACATGGTGGATTCTTGGGACAGCTTTTCTCCTCAGTGAATAGAGGGAAGCACAAGCAAAACACAAAAACTGGGTTCGTGTTGTTTTTATGATGAGAGCTGATTGAATTCTAACAACGTTTAAAAATACCTCAATGGTATTTAACTGATTCAAACAAGTTTACCAAGACTGATTCACTGTCAGAAATGGTGTAAATTTCATGTTCAAATGAGACGCATGTGTGCGAGTATGTGTGTGTGTGTGTGTGTGTGTGTGTGTGTGTGTGTGTTAAAGCTATCACATTCCCATGTTGCTGATGAAAACTGAAATTTTAGGAAACATCACGCTGGTGGAAATTATTATTCAGAAAAAGAGGGTTTGGTCTATTTCCTGTTTTCCCAGATAACTTAAATGCCCGTGCTTAAAACATGCATTGAATTTAGACAGGACACACGCATGTAGGGCCGTTGACAAAGCTGCTCAGATTCCTTATCTCGTGTGGGCTTCATAAATCCCTGGAGGAAGCCCAGGTGTGATTCATCACCTCTGCCTCCAAGATGAGCCAGCAGAGCCCGCA